ACCCGCTTACCCAGTGCCCAGAATGAACCTTTGCACAGCGCGTAGCCCAATTCAAGCCCTGGCTTGAGTTTCTAGCCTTTCTTCCCCTTGGGCCAGCACCCCCATCCCCAGGTAGAGCCCCCACCCTCTCAGCGGTGCTGCACTGGGCGCTGCAGTGGCCCTGGGCAATCTCTCCTGTGCAATGGAACCACCCTCATACATTGGCGAGCGAGCGCATAGCTTTGGGGAATGTCCTGTGAATTGGCAAAACTCATGCTGGCTGTTCTGAGCCTGTAGCTGTAGTCAGTGTTCGGAAAGGAGGCAAGCTGACTCTTGGGGACAACCCACTAGGGCACCTCAGATGCCAGTGGCAGCCCCTCCTAGCCTAGGAGGACCTGTTAGGCCTGGAGGACCCTGGGAACCACAACAGCAGCCTCCCATTCATGGATAATCAGTGAGTACCATGTCCTGAGCAGCTACTCCATGCCAGTCCCTGTGTCCCATCCCATGGCTTTCCCAACCTCCCCTCAGGCTTATTTATTCCTGGGGCTGAGGCGTCTTTGTCCTTCTGCTCTTCCCACTTAATTGAAAGTGAAAAAGTTGGTGTGACAATGTGTTAACTTGTTCACAGCAAAATGATGACAATCCATCCAAACAAAGCAAAACCAAAACAGATGTCCTCTTCCCCCAGAACTTCATACATGTCCTCAGGTTTATATGTGGTTTGTGGGATAGAATTTAGGGGCACCTGCAGCCTGTCTGGCTCCATGGGATGCTGATAGGATGATAGGATAGTGGACTCCCAGACAAGATGGTGCCACCTGGAACACCGTGCCTTGGCCAGCCCCTTGGTCCCTTCTGATATTTGCCTGATCTTGAGGAACTTCTTAAATGGAGAATCCCACTTTCTGCAGGAATGACAATTCCCTTAACCTGCTCCCATGTGGCCTAAACAGAAAATGTTCCTTGTTCTGAAATGCCTTCACAAAAATCTAGAAAAAATGCATTTCAAGCCAAGAGACTTGGGCAGTTTTGTGACAAGAGCTCCCCGAAAGCCTAACCAATGATCACCTGAGAGCCAGTGTGCAGTGTTTTGTAGCACTGACTTTCTATCTAGCAGGAGAAGGGTTCTCACTCACAGGCAGCTACAGTGGATATACGAGGCCTAGCATGGATGGCACAGGGAAATGTAAACTTCCAGGGATATGGAGGGGCCAGTGCTGGGACCCCACTGAACAAGGCAGTTACACAGAGCAAACCCATGAAGATGTGATGACGCGAAAGCACATTGGAGAGGAAGAAGTAAACTATCTCTAGTCACAGATGACATCTTATGTGTAGAAAATACTAAGGAATTCATACCAAAAATATTGAAACCAACAAGTTCAGCAAAGGTGCAGGCTACAAGATAAATAGACAAAAATCAGAGGATCTAATGTATAACAATGACTATAACACTGGGTTGTATAGTTTAAATTTGCTAAAGAGTGGAAATTAAATGTTCTCATGAAAAATTTTAAAGTAGATAAATGTGTGGGTGTTAATTAGCTAGATGGGAAGAATCCTTTCAAAATGTGTACATATATCAAATCATGAGGTACACTTTAAATATCTTACAGGTTTGCCAGTTATACCTCAATAAAGCTGAAAAAATACAAAAATTGATTGTATTTCTCTACACTAGCAAAGAACTATGGAGAATGAAATTAAAATGATTCTGTTTACATAGCATCAAAAAAATTTATAAAGATACTTAGAATAATATGTCAATGATATCTCAATAAAGCTGAGAAAAAGAGAATAAATTTAACAAAACAAATGCAAGATTTGTACTCTGAGAACTACTTAACTTCGTTGAAAAAAAATTAAAAAGACCTAAATAAGTGGAAATGTTGGCGGCAAAAAGGCACCAGGTGTTAGACCGGTGGCCTCAGATCGGACCTTGGTTCAGCAACATCAGAACTTGAGTTCTGGCTAAGAGAGAATTCAGAGTCAAGACTCAAAACTATAAGATAAAGTTTACTTAGAAAGTCACAGAGGTAGACGTGAGCGTTGAAGAAATGGACCCAGGAAACAAGTTACAGAGGCAAAAGAAGGGCCCTTGGTGCATAGAAGATGAGAGAGAGAGAAAAGAGCGAGAGAGAGAGAGAGAGAGGTAAGGGGTGGGGGAAGGTTCGGGCACGCCCTATAGCAGTGATGGCGAACCTTTTGAGCTCGGTGTGTCAGCATTTTGAAAAACCCTAACTTAACTCTGGTGCCGTGTCACATATAGAAATTTTTTGATATTTGCAACCATAGTAAAACAAAGACTTATATTTTTGATATTTATTTTATATATTTAAATGCCATTTAACAAAGAAAAGTCAACCAAAAAAATGAGTTCGCGTGTCACCTCTGACACGCGTGTCATAGGTTCGCCATCACTGCCCTATAGAGATAGCCTCATTGGGTCCTCCATCTTGAGGGAATTTATCTGGAGGTCTCGGGAGGATCCCAATAGAATATGCATCAGCTTTCCAGCTGTGTCCTTTCAGGGTGGTGGTCTCTACTGATTGGTCAGGGCCACAGCAGGGGTCATTAGTCCATGCAGCTGGCCCCATGTCAGTCCTCATTGCTCTTTCCCTCTGCCTTTGTCTCCTACAGCTTCTGTCCTCTGGACACCCCTACCCCCAGCCCCACCCCTAGCCCACTATTCTCCCCAGGCCAAATCCACCCCAAATGCTACCATTCAAAGCCCACCAGGATGTCACCCCATATGACCTCTCCACGTTATCCCCATCACTCCTCGTCACGACTGGCTTCCCAGCACTTCCTTCGTGCTGTTCTCAGTGCTGGCCATGGCAGTCCTGTCTGTCCCCATCTGCCCCAGTCCTGGCAGCAGGTGCATTTCTCCCTCCTGCCCCATTTCCTGTCAACCTCTGCCCAAGGCTGACCCTGCTGCCTTGCACTCCCTGTCAGGCCTCCCTGGAAAGAGTCCCATATTTGGTTTTCCAAACACCACCCCCTGGAAGCCCCAGCTAGCTGCCTAGCCCTCTAACCCCCAGACCACACTCTGAAATCTGCCAGAGGAAGGGTTGCGTGGGTAGCTGAAGAGTCGTCACACTGAATCCATAGTGTGTGTGTGAGGGCGTGTTGCTTAAATCCAGACCATGTGAACTGCCACTGAGAACATCACCCATGCCTCTATTGACCTAGCAATCTGTGTGTGTGTGTGTGTGTTTTTAAATATTACATCTGTGTTTTTTTAAAAATATGTTTTTTAAAAATTGATTTGAGAGAGGAAGGGAGAGAGGAAAACATCGATGAGATGGAACCCTCCATCGGCTGCCTCATTCACCCCAGCTGGGCATGTATTCTGAACCAGGAGTCCAACCAGTGACCTCTTGGTACACGGGACAGAGCTCAACCCACTGAGCAACACTGGCCAGGGTGGTTTTGTTTTTGTTTTCGTTTATTTTAGCTCGTTCTTATGTTCTCTGTATTGAACTCCACTTTGGTCCTGCCTTCTCTAGGAAAGTTCTAGCTCATTCAGGTTGTGCTTAGACGAGCCAAGAGAAGGGGCTCTTTTCTCTGTGTGGTAAACACAGACTCATCCATGGACCAGCAGCAGGCAGGCAGGGAACTTGGAGCCAGAGGTGATCGGAGGGCTTCAGTCCCCCTTCCAGGAACCTTGGACATTCTGTGTGTCCCTTCATACGGTGTGTGAATGTGTGGGTAATCCCTGGGCCTCCTGCAATGACCACCTGTGGGGTTCCCTCCCCCATTCTCCTCCTGCTGCCATATGCCCCCCCACCCCCCGCCCAGCCAATCTTCTCAATCTGGCTGCAATCACATCAGCCCCACCCAGAACCTCCAGGGTCACCCTTTACACCGCAGTCTACGTGCCCAGCCGAACCTCCCTGACCTCCGACCTCCTTGTTCCCCCGCCTGCCCGGCGCACCCCATCCATCCCCCTTTGGTGCTTGGGAAACCAGATACTTTCCGCAAGACCCCGCCCAGATATCCCAATGCTCCTGGAAGGTGGACTTAACCCCTCGCTCCGCCCTAGAGCTTCCCAGCCCCTGCCTTCCCCGAGCTTATCCCTGGTCCGCATCTTGCAGGAGTCCCGTCACACAGGCTGGTCCCCTGACACCCTCTGGACTTTAAAACTCATGCCCTGGTCAGCTAGCTCAGTTGGTGAGACCATGGTCCTGATGAGCCAGGGTCGCAGGTTCGATCCCCAGTCAGGGCACACACACTTATCAACGAATGCATAAAAAAGTGGAACAACACATGGACATTTCTCTCTCACTAAAATCAGTCAATAAAAAATAAAGATACATTTTACCAGCCTCGGGTGCTAACATCAGCACCAGTAACAGGATGCTAACTGGATAGCCCTTGCAGGGATTGGCTCTAGCTTATGTCTGCAAAGGCCTGTCACAGTCGGCAGCCCTCATGACTTCTGACACCCTGTGGAA